ATTTTAAGTACGTTTTGGTTTTCGTGTAAGGGGATGTTAACTGAAATTTTGATCTCGGCTTCCGCATTTGATATATTTAAATACTCATTCATTTTAATATTTCCGGGGTCGTTTACAAAACATACATATAGCTACAATATTATTACACCGTTAGATTGAGAAGCAATAATATTGATGGGAAACTAATAAAGTTTTTTCAAAGAAAGGTTGGAGCAATGTTATTATATCTCTACGTATTCATTCATAAAAATAAATGAGATTGACGGCGAAAAAAAGTTGTATAATATAAACTCATAGCATTCAATGATATTAAAATTATCTATTACATTTAATGAGTAACTACATACTTGCTGGTTGTTAATAAAAAATAATTTTTAGCATTATATAATTTTTTTTTTCGAAAAGAGACCATAATAATATTATACAACTAAAAACTATAGTTATAAAATATTATACTACTAATTAATCTATTTAATACATGTTACTTAAACTAATTGCTACCAAAATTTCAACACTCATACGTAACTTCTATTGAATAGAGAGATATGGAACTATATATAAGTTTCTTTTTAAAAGGTTATATTTAGAACAAACAAAAATTATTTACAAATTTTTTTGAAAGTTCATATAGTTATTTCAACTATGAGAAATTATTATTTTTAAATAATGAAAAGTTTATGAAGATTTATAATGGATTATTTTAAATTTACATGAAATAATCTAGGATCGTTTTCTATCTTTTAAATAATTTTTTGATTGAAATTGTTATAGATTTCTGTATAAATTCCCAAACAGAGCTGAATTTAATACAACAAACCAGCAAGCAATTAGTTATGTATGTGTGTGTGTGTGTGTGTATATAGAGGTATATATATATATATATAAACCTTTAAAATAATACATACACCGACACGATGATCTGGGCCTCGCTTTCTTCTATTGAAGAATTAAAGAAAGAAAAAGAAAACTTAAGTCAAAAGTAAGGAAGATATGGCCTCCTGCCTTCTCCATAACCTTAACCCTGCACATGTTTTCTAAGGATGTGCAACACCTTCTCCATGCTCAAATCTATATATACATATATATATATACACACACACACACACTATACGTACATAAAAATTCGATGGAAATTAGGAAAAAAAAAAAAAAAAGACAAACCTCAAAGCTTCTCCAAATAGAAGAAAAATCTGCCGGCAAAATAAATATGAGTGGAACTATACAAATAAGATTTCCTTTCAAGAAATTTTTAATAATTTAAAATATTATTTTATAATTTTATTAAAATTAATATAAATGCATGTCTGTTTCAACTTATTTAAGTATAATTAATGACATATGATAGTATCTATTTTTAAGTAGAAGAATTAATTTGAACAAATTGTAAAAGTACATTGCTTAACTAAACGCAATTTGTGTATAGTCTTATTTGAATAGTCATCAACAAGTATAAAGATGTTTACCCTTGGGGCTTTTGGA